ATAACTTGTCAATATATGCTGCCTGTGTTACCTTTGATAACTTATTCAGCCTCTCTGAGCCTAGTGTTCTGGCTTATGAAATGAGGCAGGCAGCACTCCTCTAGATGTGTGTGTGTGTGTGTGTGTGTGTGTGTGTGTGTGTGTGTGTGTGTGTGTGTGTGTGCGCCAGTACTGGAGCTTGAACTCAGGGTCTCACACTTCTGCTTGGGTTTTTCACTTGAGTCACACCTCCACATCTTTTTTTTTTTTTTTTTTTTGCTTGTTACTTGGAGGAAAGACTCTGGGATTTGTCTGCCTGAGCTGGCTTTGAACCAGGATCCTCAGATCTCAGCCTCCCGAGTAGCTATAATTCTAGGCATGAGCCATCAGCACCTGGCCTCAACTAACGTCCTTATTGGGTCTTAAGAAAGGGAAAGGAGGTAGTCTAATATATGATACTTCACACTGTTCAAACGAACTAGTGTTTTTCTGTCCCTTTTCCACTATCAACCAAGTGAGTACCTTGGAGAAGTTCCAGCACTGGGCAGGAGTCTCAATCTCTGTCCTCCAGGTGAGCTGCAAGGAACCTGTGCCTCCTGCTAGCTGGCTGCTGGGGCCACTGACCTGGGATGGAAGGAAATATGACCTGGAAGCTTCCCTTCACTACACCTAGAGATGCCTAGACAGTCTGAGACTTGGCCTGTTACTGCACAGGTCCAGAGACTCCCAAGCCCCTTGGGGCTGGGAACTCTTCACACCTAGTAATAAGTGCAGGAAAACCAGTCTGGAGCCACAGAAAGTCACAGAAGCTTGCGTTGAGGGACCTCCAGCCTCCTGGGAGAGATGGAGAGACATGCAGAGATTAAAGATTGCAGAGGGTCCCCAGGCAGTTGCAGATGGAGTTGAGCAGTGGTCCCTTGCCCCTAGACCAGGATAGGAGTGAGAGGGTCCAGAAGGTCCCTTAAGAAGCCAAGATCTATGGACAACTGGGCCTCAGGTACACTTGCATCTGCTGTTGTGTATGGTCCCTGGGCTCCTGAGGCCTGAGTTGGGGAAATGGTAGGTTTGAGACCATGTACAAGAGGTAGAGGTGGATCTGCAGTTGGTCCTGGAAGGAGAGAGGTTACATAGACACGAAGAAGGATATTCCAGAAGGTGGCCCTCTGGCCACAGATGATCAGAATAGTCACCTGCTGGCTGGGCTCTGGAGTGCCCCTCAGGGAGATGACAGTCTGCAGGAATGGTCACGTTTGCTCTCCTACTCTGCTGCTTCAAGCTGTGCTCAACTGCAGGAAACCCACGAGGCCAGGCCCTGCCCCATACTCCGACCCAACCTCTGCTCGGTGCAGTCCCCACAGGCCGTGGACATGGCCAGGACTTGCCTTTCACCTCCATGGCTCAAAGTCAAAACAAGGCTTTGGAGAGGAAACGGCTCACTGCCTCACCCGCCCTGCTCTGGCCAGGCAAGCTGGACTCCCAGCTCCCAATGCCTGCTCAGTCTGCATCTCTGAGCTTCTCTGGATCTCCCTTGCTCTATCTTGTCACAGACACCTTAGGTCAGGTTAGCTGACCATCCTGCCCTTTCAGCTCTAAGGTAGTGTTCTGTATTGAGCATGGGCTGGAGGCAGAGAGCTGAGGCAGCCACTGGGGACAGGCTGGAGGACACTGGAGGTCAGAGGCTGAGAAGAGGAGCTAGGGCCTCACCTCTCTTCCTGGAAGCTGCCTTTTGGAAGAGCAGATCTAGCACTTTCGGGAGGCAGTGACTAGGAGGGAAGAGGCCTCTGGCTCTTCCAGAGATGCGCCAAGAGGAGATGGGGGGCAGGGGATCGTGGCTACAAGACGGGAAAGAGGATTATTGAGGGTGTAATTAGTATACTTGTGGGCCTCCACCAAACTTCCCCTTCCTCTTGACAATTTGTGGCCAAAACAGTTCTGATTCCTTGTGGACTCACTTCAACTCTTATCCGGAAATTTTTTTTTTGTTTTAATAAAATAAATAAATAAGAGAAAGAAAGAAAAGGAAAAGGAAGAAAAACGAAGAGGGTTGTTATTTGTGAAATTGCATTTCCCAGCCATGAGAGTGAGTCACACAGCCTCTGAGCTTCAAGTTTCTTGTTTGGATGAACTTTTCTCTGACAGGCTGGGGCGATGGTGCTCCTCCTTGGGTCGATTGGGGGTGTGGGGGTGTGGGGGGAGAGCGTCTCAGTGAAGATAAGCAGAGGCCTGATGTCTGGAAAATTCCAGGCGCTTCTGACTAGAGGAGCCCAAGGCTGCTTATACCTGAGAAGTCTGAAAAATGTGGGTTCAGGCAGGGGAGGCCAGGGCAGGACCTAATTGTCTTAGACTTTCAGTTTGGGATGGTGGACAAGAAGCTCTGAGGTGGGTGTGGGGAATGATGGTTGCAGAACAGAGTGAAGCTCTGTGTGTGTGTGTGTGTGTGTGTGTGTGTGTGTGTGTGTGTGTGTGCAGGTATTGGGTATTGGGGTTTGAACTCAGGGCCTGGGCACCACCCTTTAGCTTTTTCACTCATAGCTAGCCACTTGAGCCTCATCTCCACTTCTGCCTTTTTGTTTTGCTGGTTAATGGAGATTAGAGTCTCATGGACTTTTTGGCCTGGGGTTGGCTTTAAATCACAATCCCTCAGACCTCAGCCTCCTGAGTCACTAGGATTAGAGGTGTGAGCCTGGGTTTGTAAATTCTCTTGATGCCAATGAACTGTACACTTTATAATCATGAAAGCACCAACCTCTGTTAGGGGTATCTTACCACATGCCCAAATCTGCCCACAGTCCCAAGCAGCTGCTCTGGTGGGAATAGGGTGGGGGTGGGAATCTGAGGTGGAGCCCAGAAAAGTCTTGCTTCCCAGATTCCCAGGTCATCCTATCCAAGTTTGGACACACTCATTTAATCTGTGAAATGGGGACGGTGACTCACTGAGCAGCTATCCCAGTGAGTGTAAAGTTTTCAGGGCTTGGCTGGTCTCTGTGGTCACCTGATCTAACCACCATTGGAGCTGTCTCCAGGTCCCATAAGGTGGCTACCATGGCCTTATTGCTTCAAGAATGGAATGCTGTGCCTTGCTCGGAGGGATGGCTCCAGCCTGGGCTGCTTGGGGCCTGGGAATGGGGGTGGAGGCTGGCTCAGTGCAGGCTGGTGCAGTATCTTTCTAGTCCTGGGTTTCATGGTGAACCAGACAGGCACAGTCATCAGGGCTCATAGAGTTCCCTTCCCTAAGCATTGGGGGATCCAGCTGTGGTGTATGTAAGAGGACACGGAGGCCCAGAGTGGGAAAAGACCTACCAGGGGCACACAGCAAGGGTGTTCTGAGGTACCACCTCAGTGGGACGGAGGCTGTCCTCTAGAAGCAGGAGGTAGGCCTCTAAAGACCGAACAGGGGAGGCTCATGTGGGTGCGGCTGCTCTGGTTGGGGGAGGGGAAGCACAGCCATAGCTCTCATCCCTCCCCTTCCTGCATAGGAAAGACTGGCCCCACTCTGGGCCCCTCTCTGTCCCCATCTTTTCCTTTTGTTTTCCCCTCTGGTCCTGGGGCTTGAACTCTGGGCCTGTCTGCTCTCTCTGAGCTTCTTTTGCTCAAGGCTCGCACTCTACCTCTTGAGCCACAGCACTATTTCCAGCTTTTTTGGTAGCTTATTGGAGATAAGAGTCTCATGGACTTTACTTCCTGGGCTGGCTTTGAACCATGATTCTCCGATCTCTGCCTCTTGAGTAGCCAGGATTAAAGCCGTGATCCACCAGTACCCAGCATGTCCCATCTTTTTAAGAGGCTGGGAGACTTCAAGAGCAAAGCCCCATCTCCCCCATCAGACTCACTCTCCCTACCAAAGTCCATAGCTTGCTCTTGCTGGTCGTGGGCACCTACGTTGGAGTCAGGGGATTTCCCAAACCCTGTGCTCAGAATTGCTATGGACCTTTCTGGGGACCCATGGCCATTCTGTGTCAGCCCCACCTTCGCTAAATTCCAGTGTGCCAGGCCGCCTGGAGCCCGTGATTCCTATAAATAGAGGCTGTATACACCAGCCTCAGCAAGATGTCTGGTTCCTGTCATGCAGAGGTGGAAGAGGTGGCACTCTTCTCTCCTCTGGCTCCCAGAGGAATGGCTGGCTGGCCTGGGCAGGGCTTCCAAATAGGCCTGTGTGTGTGTGTGTGTGTGTGTGTGTGTGTGTGTGTGTGTGTGTGTGTGTGTGTGTGTGTGTACAGGAGACCAGGCAGGGGCTGGACCACAAAAATGGAAGCCATGCTGCAAGCCCAGGTACCTTTTCCTTGCCAGATGAGGAAACTGAGTCAGCAGTGATTCTACTAGTCAGTGGCACAGTCCTACATTTGACAGGCTGCTTTCTGTGATCCTGTCTTAGCTCATCATCATGTGAAAAGGAGCAACAGTAATGAGCTAGGGGCTGGTGGCTCACACCTGTAATCTTAGCTACTCAGGCAGCTGAGGTCGGATAGAGGATCCCAGTTCAAAGCCAGCTCAGGCAGACAAATCTGAGCGACTCTACTCCCTAGTTAACCAGCAAAAAAAAAAAAAAAAAAAGCTGGAAATGGGGGTGTAGCTCAAGTGGTAGAGCACCAGCCTTGAGCAAAAAAGCTAAGTGTATGAGGCCCTGAGTTCAAGTCCCAGTAGCACATACGCCCACACTCACACACGTACTCTCTTACACATACACACACTATTAATGGTAACAATAATAATAGTTATAATAGTAATCATTGCTCTGTTCTGAAGTTCCTAGGCCAGGCATGACATACAGCAAGCACACTATTGCATGACCTCATTTTAGCCTCCTGGAAACCCTATGGGTAGGTATCACTAGTTATAGAGAGGGCTAGTAAGGCCCAATGTGGCTGACTGGTTTGTCCAAGGACACAAAGTAGACTTAGGATTTGTACTCAGGATCCCAGGGTGAGTTGAAACCTCATGGTATTCCCATATGCTGTGGAAGAGGGAGGTAGAAATCACCCAAGGGGAGGCCTTGGCCAAAACTGAGTCTTTGTCCCTCACAGGCTCTGGGCAACAGCGTGTACAAGAGTGCCTCACCCTACGGCTCCCTGAACAACATCGCAGACGGCCTCAGCTCCCTCACCGAACACTTCTCCGACCTGACTCTCACCTCTGAGGCCCGCAAGCCCAGCAAGCGGCCCCCACCCAACTACTTGTGCCACCTGTGCTTCAACAAAGGCCACTACATCAAGGACTGCCCCCAGGTAAGGCAGCCCTGGCTCATGAAAGGACTCTGAGCATGCCTGGATGATCAGGGAGGAGCACTGCTCAGCGGTTAGCAGGGTACGGTGCCCTTCCACCCTGGGCCTCTCCCTTTGCTGTCCTTCAATCTCTTTGGCTGGTGAGACAAGACTGACTGGTGTAGACAGGACAGAGGAGGCCTCTGCTGCTTGATCAGCAATCTGAATGGGAGATTCTGGATCCAAGTTACCCCCCCCCCCACACACACACACACAACAGTGAGATTCGAGGCCTCCAGATCGCCACCAGTTTCTCTGCAGGGTGAGTTCCCTGGTGGTGGGCAGGATGGGGGCCAGCAGCTCTGGAGGCTACATCTGCTTGCACTCACCAGGAAGGAATGCAGGCTCAGGGCCAGGAATCCAGATGTGCACCCCCCCATCTCTGCTTCTTCAGCCTGCAACAGGACAGATGAGGAGTCCCGGCACACGTCTGGGCAAAGGCCTTGGGCCATGAGGGGCTGAGCATCTTTCTCAGGGTTGGGATGCCTTAGGGAGATGGTGGGTCCTGAAGGATCCTTTGTGACAATGTGTGAGGAAGCAGTGATCCCTGTTCTAGGTGGCTTATGTCATCCTGGGGCTAGGAGGGGGCAGCTGTCTTGTAAAGCACCTCAGTTTGTAGCTATCATTTTGTTTTTACATATATATGCATATATATATATATACATATATATATATATAATCTTCCAGGCTAAAAAATAATAATGTGGCTAGTGGTTTGATTTCATATACGTAATAGCAATGGAATCCTAGAGACTGAAAATCTGTGTCCATTACCCTCCAGCTGTTAAAAGCTGAGTGTAGCTGGTAGGGAGGGGCTGGGCCCAGGAGCGTGCCCCCCGCCCAGAGGTATTTGCTGCTCATCAGAGCCCCACTTTCAAGGACTGCACCAGACAGGCTTTAGTCTTTGGTGCTTAAAATATAGGCCCGGCACAGTCCCCCTCAAGGGCTCCATCCAAGGGACTTGTTAGAAATTCAGAATCCGAGGCTCACCCCAGCATACATGTGTGTCATATGTATGTGGTTCTGCACAGCTGGACTTGCATGGTAGGGGCTGACCCACTAATACTGGTCCTTGATCCTGTATCCCCTACTCCTGTTTCCTCCTCAATAGAGGTCAGAAGGAAGAAACACTTTTTTATTTGTTTGTTTTTTGGTTGATCATGGGGCTTGATCCCTGAGCTTTTGTGCTCAAGGCTAGCACTCTCCCGCTGTGAGCCACAGCTCCACTTCCATTTGTGTGTGTGTGTATGTGTGTGTGTGTGTGTGTTTGATTGAAGCTAAGAATCTTATGGACTTTTCTACCAAGGCTGGTTTTTAACTGTGATCCTCAGATCTCAGCTCCTGAGGAGCTATTACAGACATGAGCCATCAGCCCTGGGCACAAGAGACCCTTGTGTGTGTGTGTGTGTGTGTGTGTGTGTGTGTGTGTGTGTGTGTGCGTGCGTGTGTACTGATACTGGGGCTTGAATTCAAAGCTTCATACTGTTGCATGACTTTTTTGATCAAGGCTAGCACTCTACTACTTGAGCGATGCCTCCACTTTTGGCTTTCTGCCATGTAATTGGAGGTAAGAGTCTTATGAACTTTTCCTGCTTGGGCTGGCTTTGAACCTCAGTTCTCGTATTTCAGCCTCCCGAGTAGCTAGGATTACAGGCATGAGCCACTCACACTTGGCACATGAAGCATTTGATATAAGGGGCCCTCAGAAGAGACAGAGTCTTTACCCTGTTCTAGGACTTTGGCTGAGGAGGGCAGTGGTGACTCTGGTTCTCAAGGATCTGCCCGTGGTTTGCCAACCAAGAGCTCATGGGCATTGTGGTTCACAATTCCCTCATCCCCTCCTGCTTGGCCTGGGAAGTGAGTAGAGTGGAATTTGCCCCAGGGAAGAGGAGAAGGGCCGTGTGCAGAATGTATCTCTGTGATTTCATGCACTGCTCACCACCTCCCAGAGTCTATGAACTGCTTTATTCTGCAAGGTGAAACAGGAGCTTTAAGCAGGGAAGGAACTCCACGGACAGTGGAACTGGTTGGGAGAGATGTGAGGGCCTGTCAACAGGCCAGGCCAGAAGACTTCTAAATGTCAGGACCAAGTTGGGGGGAGGAGGAGGTTAATCACTACTATTTCTTCTTTTCTTCCTCCACCTTTTTCCTTCTTCTCCTTCCCTTTCTCCTTCTCCTTCCTCTTCCTCCTCCTCTTCCTCTTCTTTTTCCTCTTCCATTTCCTCCATGTTCTCTTCCTCCTCCTCCTTCTCCTCCTGTACTAGTGTTTGGACTCAGGGCCTCATGCTCACTATGCTGGCACTTTACCACTTGAGCCACATACTTCCAACCCTTTTTACTTCAGTTATTTCTTAGATAGGGCTTCAGGTTTTTGCCAGGCCTAGCAAGCCTGGACAGAGATCTTCCATGTAAGAGGAATCACCTGCACAGGCCACCATGTCAGCTTCTTGGTTGAAGTGGTATTTTGATAACTCTTAGACTAGGCTGACCTTGAATCATGCCTCTGGAGTCACTGGAATTACAGGCATAAGCCACCACATCCGGCCTGGTTCTTTCATTTATTTCCGTTTACTTTTTTTGAGATGAGGTCTCAATGTGTAGCAAAGAGTACTTTTGAATTCACAATCCTCCTGCCCCTGCCTCTCAAGTGCTGGGGTTACAGGTATGCACACCCACATCAGACTGGGCTGGTTCTTCTTTTATATGGCTTGCTTTTAACTCCATAGCAGCAGTAGAAGTTGGGTCTTTGTCTTATTGGATGTCTGAGGGTTTATAATGCTGGGCTATCAGGCAGCATGTGTGTGAGAACTTGGAATCTTAGTGTGTACTGTCTCCCTAGATCAACTAGCTATACCAGCCCCAAGCTGAGACACCCCCCCCCCCCACACACACACACATACACACACACCATGGTCTGTGTAGTCTGGCTGAGTTTGGCAGCATAAAGCTTTTCGATCCTCCCCATCTGAAACCTGAGTCTGTATGGGATTCCTGAAGACCCAAGGATGCCCTGCTTCCTGGATGGAATGAGGCGAATGGGAGCACTAGCACCCAGGAATGCTTGAGAATGCAAGACAATCATTCTGGGAGAGAGTTGGGATCTTCCTAGCTCTGCTTCCCATGTAGGTTAGATCACAGGCTATGCCCAACAATGTCCTTCCTTTTTGTTTTTGTCAGTCATGGGGCTTAAACTCTGGGCCTAGGAACTGTCCCTCAGCTTTTCAGCTCAAAGCTAACCCTCTCCCATTGAGCCACAACATCACTTCTGGCTTTTTCTGCTTATGTGGTGTTGAGGAATCGAACCCAGGGCCTCATGCATGCAAGGCAAGTGCTCTACCACTGAGCCACCTTCCCAGCACCCCCTTCCTTTCTTTCTTTCTTTTTTTTTTGGTCGGTAGTGGGGCTTGAATTCTGGGCCTGGGCGCTGTCCCTCAGCTCTTCAGCTCAAGGCGAGCACTCTACCACTTGAGCTACAGCACCACTTCCGGTTTTCTGGTGGTTTATTGGAGATAGGAGTCTCACGGTCTCTCCTGCCCGGGCTGGCTTTGAACCGCGATCCTCAGATCTCAGCCTCCTGAGTAGCTAGGATTACAGGCGTGAGCCACCAGCGCCCGGCCCCCTTCCTTTCTTAATGCAAACGTTTATGTCTTACAAAATGTGGCTAATACTTCTCTTTTCTCTCTCCTTTGGGTCATGAAGAAGTACCTGACCAGGTACTGGTTATTTTGGAAGGCTGGGATTTATTTGGATAATGCCCACCGCTTATCTGACTAGAATCTCAAGGGTCAGGGACATAATGCAAGCCCATGACTCCTTATCCAACAGGTGCTCAGCATGCATCTTCCAGATAGGATAGATAGGGTGACAAAGCTTCTATAAACCATGGATAGGGACCTGTATTTCAAGTGAAATATTATCTAGGAGCTCAACATATAAAAGTTGGATGCTTATTACTTTTTCAGTAACAGATTGAAGCATAATTCATTCACCATACAATTTGCCTGTATAAAAATGTGTAATACAGTTAGGTGCTGGTGGCTCACACCTATAATCTTAGCTCTAAGGATCACAGTTCAAAGCCAGCCCAGATAGTACGTCTCTTATCTCCAATTAACCAGCAAAACCAGAAGTAGCAGTATGGCTCAAGTAGTAGAATATCAGCCCTGAGAAAAAAGCCAGGCAAGAGTGCCAAGCCCTGAGTTCAAGTCCTTGTACTGGCACAAAAATAAAAATAAATAAATAAATAGAATGTGTAATGCAATTATTCTCATTCTATTCAAAGACTTGCGCAACCATCACTACCAGTTAGAGAATATTTTTATAAAGTCTACAAAGAACTCAATGCTTTTATAGATATCACCTCCACACCTTCCACCCCTTGGCAACCACTTTTCTTTCCTTTCCTTTTCTTTTCTCCTTCCTTCCTTTCTTCTTCTCTCTCTCTCTCTCTCTCTCTTTCTTTCTTTCTTCCTTTCTTTCCATCTGTCTTCTTTGGTGCCAGTTCTGGAGCTTCAACTCAGAACTTGGGCTCTGTTCTGAGCATTTGTGCTTAAGGTCTAGTGCTCTACCACCACTTGAACCATAGGGCCACTTCCAGGCTTGGGCCTGGTTCAAACTGTGATCCTCAGATCTCAGCCTCCTTAGTAGTTAAGATTACAGACATGAGTCACAGGCCCTTGGTAGCGACTACTTTTCTACTTCCTCTTCCTCTTTGAACTGATTTTTGTCTGCTCTGGACATCTCATGTAAGTGGAAACTCCCAATAGGGGGACTTTTGTGACTGGCTTTTAAAAAAAAAATACTGTTATGTTCTCAGAGTTCATCTGTATCTGTGTCCTCAATAAGTAGAGAGTTCTATCATATTCTATTTTCTAAGAGAGATTTTGAAGAACTATCATTAATTCTTCTTCAGACATTTGGAATAACTACATTCTGGAGCCATCTGAGCCTAGACTTCCTGTTGT